CCATCCTCCCACTCCCAGTCTGAAGCAATTCCTTTGCGGGTTAGCCCAATCCAATGGAAATCTGGCAGAGAGTTTAGGAAATTCTGTTTGGGAGTAAACCGAAAAAGTGAATTTCATCCCTGTTGTCCATGAATTCCAGGGCAAAAAGCATGATGTCTCTTGGCCAAGACCATGGTAACCCAGGTGTCTGCATTCTGAAAGAAAAACAGTGAGCTCTGCCTTGCACCTTACAAGAGCAGCTCTAGGCACCTGTCCAGAGGCAGGTCTCCTGACTCTGGATTCCAAGAGAACAAGAAACCCATCCTTGAGGCCTCAGACAGGTTTTTCAGCTCTGAGAGAAGTGTCCATAGTAGCCAAATTCACTATATGAGTTGGCCATAGGTTTTACAGAGATTGTTGATCATTCTGATGTGACCATCTCATACAAGGCTAATATCATAACTGCCCTCATTGTAGCCGACAGGAACAGACATGGCACCAATGGGAAAAGGGCCACATAATTTCATAATCATTTGAGGCTACACAACAGAGACAGACAGATTTCTCTCCCCTAGCATTATTATTATATTATTTGTATTGACTGCCCAATGTAAAATAGCTAAGCAGTCCTGAGAGCAGGGCATACAGCTCAGATCTTCCACCTTCCCAGGTGAATGCTACAACTGGCAGGGTAAAGACTTAGGTAAAATCTCCCTGTCTGTACCAGGTTCAATGATTCTGTTTATGCTGTCTAAAGTGAGCAAGCTCAATAGAAGGGATAGAGAAGAGACTGAACCTGCTCCAGTCTACAGCTTGGCAATTATGGCACTTTCATTGCAGGTAGTGAGTAATAGAGGTTAGGAATCCCGCAGCTAGGGAAGAGAATTAAACTCTGGTCACTTAAATCTGGGACAAGTGCAATAACCACTAAGCTGGTATATGGAAGGAGAGGGGACATCTTCTGGTTGTGTTTCAAAATTAGAAGAGGCTGCCAATGTTGGTGCATTCTGTGCAGAGGTTGCTCCCTAGGCATATCCTGGGAATGCCTATCAGATCCAGCTCTGCACGCAGAACAGGTGTTGGGATGCCTAATTTGTGCTTTGTGCAAGGCTTGTGCACAAGCCAGGCACGTTAGCTGCTCTGTGCTGCCAGGACTAAATGGACTTTTGAAGAAGCAAAACTTTATGATTCTGAGAAACTGTAACATTGAAATCTCAGATGCCTACAGGCATGAGACACCTCTTTAATGACAGCTGAGCAGACTTTTTGGGAGTCAAAGGGAGCATCTACACGTGATGCTATGGTGATGTAGCAACGCACTACGGTTACGTAGAACCACAGGGGTCTACATGTGACCCACAGCTACTTCACCAGAGTGACACACTTCCCCCATTATAGTGCACCCCAACAGCAAGTTAGCTGCTAAAAATAACCAAAAGGAAGTACTAAATCACGACACAATAACAACATTGCTATAGCGACACATGTAGATGCACCCACAGTGGTCTACTTAGCCACCTATATCTAGCTTGTCCCAATTTAAGTGCCCACCCATCCTTTTCCGAATTGAGATTTTAATTCAAAACATAACCCAGGCCACTGTTGAGGACCATCTACCTTGTAATATGAGCATCTTGTCTAGAGCTATAGATCACATCACTACACAGGTATCTGGAAAGGTTTAAATCAGTGACTAGTGAACACAAAGGAGCAGAAACAATGTCCTACCATCTCATCCTTGTTCTCTATCTTGAGTAGTTTGGAGCCATGAGAAGAGCACTTTGCTTTACATTCTTGATAGCTTTTCCTTTCCTTAGTAAAATAGTAAAACTTTCCTCTGTGATGTTTCCAGCAATCTAAGTAAGCACTGCATTTTTCTCCTTGAAAATAAAAACATGTTTGATACAGAAAGTTGCCATATTTCCAGGGGGATGGATGAAATGTCCTGTGACTACATCACTGTAGAGTGCGCTATGGAGAAACTGATGTTCACATGCTGCACTGTTCAGTGAGGAATAAGGGCTTGTTTTGCTACAAGGGAGTCAAGGGACCAAAGCCATCAACCTAGACATGATCATGCAGTCTCCCCCTTCACTAATATACCAGAATCCTGTTTTGGGGCAGAAGAGAGTCACAGATCCTGGTCCTGAGGATAGCATGCCTCTTTTAGAAGATAAGCAATCCATGCGGAGTATACTATGGATAACTTTATAAAGTTTCAGTGATGACAGCAAAAGCTAATTTCACTCCCGGGTGTGTGCTCCCTTCCCTTGAAAAGCATGAAGCTAATCACAACTCGCTCTGCTCAGTGGCAGGTGATTCAGGATGCAAGGCTCCTGGAGTTCTTTTGCTCCCTGAGTATATTGGCTGGGGTTTTGTCTGCTTCATAAAGAGATGTGACCCTTTCTCTATAGCCATGCAGTGCTGTATAGCACATGATCACCAGAGAGGGACATCTGTGCAACCAACAGAGAAAAAGAGACTGAACTGAAGAGTGACTGCCTGCTCTAGGGTGGGTATGAGAGAGACTTCTACAAAATATCTGAAATGGCCAACATTTTCCAGTTAAAAGTAGTAAGACAAAATGGTAACTGAACAAGGAAGAAAAGGCAGAGGCAGCAACAACAAAGATCTGTCCCCTTCACCTCTGAGCAAAACCCTGGCATCTAATCTTTCCTTGAGCAGATGCATCTACACTCCTGAGAGGAAAGGGCTTAACCAGGGGTTTAGGGAATCTTCTGAATGAATCTGTACTCCCTCCTCCACAACCTTTTAGGTGTGATCCAGTGTGTTTTCCAATAGGCAGTTTTAGTTGTTGTTAGTAACAACATTGCACATGCAGTGAATAACAAAGGTAACAAAGGGGAGAGGCCAGGCTGCAGATACGGCCTGAGATTGGGGAAAGATGGAGCAACCCTGGTGGGAGGAAGAATGATGTTATTGCTGATTGGCAGAGATTTATGGTATAGCCTAGGGGCTTGAGTTTTATGTTTGCTGTTTACAACCGGAGGTTTGGGTGAGGTTATTAGGGGTTGGAGGAGGCCTCATAGGGGATCTATGATAGTGTGGGGACCCTGGTGCCAGAGAGGGTGCAGCATTTTGGAGTGCACTGACCCCAGCCCCAGTGTGAGGGGGCTGAGCAAGAGAAGCCCTAGGCAAAGGGGGCAGTGATTTAACAAGCACCAGAGGGCGCGGAGAGAGACGAGGGCTGCGAAGAGCCTGAGCACCAGAGGGCGTAGAGAGAGAGAGAGAGAGAGGAGGGCTGCAGCTAAGACTGAAAAACGTCCAGTACATCTGTGAGGCTTGGGGTGTGGTACAGGGGTGGTTGGGCTATGCGTGGCTCCATAAGACCAGGGTGCACGGAACCCCATTATAGAAACAAGACAAGTGATAGCAGGAGAACCGTGGCCAAGAGAATGAAAGGCAGCCTCCCTTTAATATATAATAAACGGGTGTGTGTGTGTGTGTGTGTGTGTGTGTGTGTGGACATGGCGGGCGAGATTCAAGGATGCTTTGAGGTGAACTTGGCACAGTAAGGGGGCACTAGGGGAGATCATGGCCACCCCTAGGACGCCACTTCATGACACTTATGTTATCATTGGAGGGAGGGAAGATAATGAGTGGCTTTCTTGGCACCCACTGCACATATATCTTACGCATTATTCATTGTCAGTGACTTTACCTTCATCAGCTGAGAGATGTGAGCTGCCAAGGAGCTACCTACATTTCTCAAGTGTGTCATTATGGAGCTGTGGATCATTGTGTATGTCTGTACTGAGGAGATCCCATGTCTCAAAGAAGTTTGGCTTTGCTTTTCCACATTATCAGTAACTGATTCAAGCCCTTGTACGGTGGGTGCTTGGGGGAGGAGGGTGGGGAGAATCTTTTGTCATCATCAGGACACACAGAACTGAATACTAATGCAAAATTAGCATTAAGAGTGGAAAAGAATCATGAACACTACTTGGTACCTTTCAGGTTTGTGTTCTGGGCCTTGAAATTATCCCTTTCCAAGGTGCAGTTTTCCAAAGTTTCATTCAGCTGCGTAAGATTTTTCAGAACTTCCTCTTGCTGGGGGAGAATTCCAATCTGGCTTCTCACTTGCAGGGAAGGCAGGAGAACTTAAGTCCACAATGATAAGCAAAATACACCATTTCAGTTAAAAGAGAACCAAACTATTCTTTATGAATCAGATGCCAGTTCCATTATAGTGTGCTAAGAGTTGTGCATAACTTTGATGTTAAAATAACCAAAGTATTAGTGAAATTCTAGTTTTTTGTTTGAGAGAATACTCTCAGCTTATAAAGGCCAGTCTCCAAACACATGCTGAACTGTTTTCGTTTAAATCAAAATGTCAGGGTTTGTTTGTTTTTCATGCTATCCGTCTCATGATTCAACCTGATATTGTGCAAATTGAATTGGGACTCATTTTCTTTTGGCTTGGAAAACTGAGAGTGTTGGAAGAATCTTTTCAAAGCAATAGAAGTCGGATCACATTTCTGTGCCATGATTCTAATGACATTTAAACAAACAGTGGAAATCTCAACCTAACCTCAGGTCATAAATCCAAAACATTCTGCAAGAAATCGTCTTATCATGTTTCAGTTACAAAATTTCAACTCTCAGCAGTGCGTGCAGTAGGCTTTGACCACACAATTAAAGTCTGTTATCATCCACAAAGGAGTCCAAAATATACTACTGTGCATGTATGTACATTGCTTGGAGGAGTTTTCTACACTTTTCACATTTTCTACACTTTTCAACAGCTCAAATCTTTTTCTCATTGTGTTCTTGGTAAATACTTACATAAGGCACCCAGGACTCCTGAAATTGCAAGCAAAACCAGACAGAGGGACCCCAGAATTGCTGCAGTGAGTTGCCACAACAAAGACTCGGAACAAGATTCTAACAAATGAGAGAGAAAGAAAAAAACACACACATGACCTGAAAATGTCTCACACCTATAATTTTGGGGGAGAGTAGAGTTCTCTACCACACCTGTCAGTGAAACTCGCATCTCACCCCCCTGAATCTACAATCCCTCCAGTAATTGTAGCCATTTATTGTGCACTCAACAACAGGTTAGAGGACCTAGAAGAGAACAGTCACTCCTCCTGATAGGATCAGTGATCTGGCCTGGGCACTGGCCCAGGATGGTCTCAAGGGAGGTCCCATCCATCAGCCAGATGCTATTTCTTGTAAGGGTAAAAATAATTCTCATTCTTTGGTTCTTGAAACCTCATGTCATGGCAACAGCTGCCCCTGAGGGAAGTTCTGTGACTTCAGATACTTTGATAAAAGAAGGGCAGAATCCAGCAGAACTCTTGAAGCACAGTACCTCTGTTCTCTGAGACTGTAGGCGTTGGCTTCCTCTGTGATTTGGAAGGAGCATGACATTTCAGATCTGAGTAGATCACTTCCTGCTCGCTGATTTCTGATGGGTTATAAGGGTAGAAAGATTCACCTATGAAATGTTCATTATATCAGGCTAGAAATACAGACTCACAATTTTTTTTTAAGCCCAAAATGACCGTTTTGAGCAAATCTTAAATTCCTGCATAATGTTATTATACAGACCATGGAATATCAGCTAGTATTTTTTGTTTGTTTGTTTGTTTGGTTTTTGTTTTGTTTTTTATTCCCATTTTTCAACCAAAACATGTGGTTGGAAACAGGTCATGATTTTTTTGGAAAAACATCTGCTCTTGAATTCAGTAACTGAGAATTGAATACTGTTCTTGATAATCTGCTCCAGTGGTTTATTACCTTTCTTACTCAATCTGTTATTTCCACTATGATCTTTTTCAGGTTTTATCACATTAGTAGACAGCAACCATGCACTGACTTAGGTGGCCAACCACATAACTGAAAAACACTGAATGGTGAACTCCTGGAAATAGTTGGAAGTCAACTTGCAGGCTGGATCGCATAGAATAATTTTTAATAGGAAACAAATTCTTAAATATTGAATCACATTTTACAGGTAACTCATGAATAGAAAAAAGGGAGAGGCTGAGTTAGCTCATGGCTAGATTCTGTCCCCCTTACTCATTTTAAGTCATCCCTTATTGTGTATTGAGGCCCATTAATGGCAACTTCATTAAGGGTTCTTCATGGGGTAAGAGATTCAGGATATATGAATTTAAATCAGAGTGATTTAAATCTAATTTAGTCATGACTGAAATTAGCCAGAAGGAACTTAGTTATAAATAATTGCTTTTTATCTTCTTCGCACTTGTACTCTTTAGTTATTTTCCTAGGCAAGGGTTATTCTTTGTAGGCAGTACAATTAGGTACCACTTTTAGCTAAATAAGACCAAAATACCTCAAGGCAGAATTTAAAAACAAAACTGCTCACAGAGGACAGAGACTTTTCTGACAGCATAGAGTGGAAAGAGGCCAATTGGCCCTGAGCTCGGGTTTGTAGATATTCACCCCCCTTGCAGGACACACTTTCTTCTGACTGCCTTTTGGGAGATGCTAAGCACAAGATGTTTCATTAAAGAATACAACCATTTTTATGGTATATGGGGTAGATCCAACATATCTCCATACAGGAGATTTAGGTGTTCTGGTAGATAGCAGTAAAGGTGAGGGCAACACAAACATGTCTGCCCTAGCAGACAAGGAAAAGTCAAAAGATGCCTTGGCCTAGTAAACTAAGCAGGGAATGGTAAATTTAAGCAGGGAACAACTGGATTAAGTGCTTAATCCAGCTGCTCCAACCAGTGGGCTGCAAATCCTACTGCATAAAGTTGTTCAAAAGACTTGGGATACAAACATTAACTAAGTGTTTGAGAAGCTAAAGGAATGGAAGAGGCCCCGGCCCTGTGTTAATAGGACAGCAAGAGCAAAACTAAGTTTTTCATGGAAGTTTCAAAGAAGGGTATTTGTACAATCCATTTACAACAGTGTGATCAAAATGTAGACCAGTGGATTATATATCATGGATACTAACAGAATTGGAATGCAAATACACTGAATGCAATACGAAAGGAGGTATTGACCCTGGTTTGGGTGCAAAAATGTTATGACTATATTTAAGGGAGGCCATTCCTAATTGAAAAAGATGATAATCCATTTATAGCTGTTACCAAATGCAAACAATGCTTTAAGAATACAGAGATTATTTTGTGATTTGCAAATTGAATACAAATTTTGGACAGATGTAGTGGTGACAGTCATATGTCTATAGCCTTTGACAACATTTCAATGTAAGAATGTCCAGATTACCAGGGATCCTGGCTTCCTCTGTTTAAAAATCACATTCTCTGGTTTAAAACCCTCAAAATCCTATGTTTTTCCATGATTCAAATGAACTGCCACTATATCTATAGATATCAGTTGAACACAATGTTTTATTGATATATTTACAATTTTAAAGCAATTTGGAAGCCTACTAGTGCCTCAGTCACTATACAAGCAGTCCTCAATTTTTATGACTTTTCAATTTGCAATAAACACTGCTTATGACGTTTATAAATTGACACACTGTTTCAATGTTCCAATGTGGGTATCATCTTTATGACAGCGATACTGCATGCAGCTGGTACTTGGTGGGAACGGAATGGGTGTGGGGCAGGGGTAGATCAACACCCTCGTAGTGAGGGAGGGGCTGGGGCTGAGAGAGGGGCTGGGGCAAGTGCTCCCCAGCCAGGGCCAGGCAGTCATGGGGAGGGGGTCAGCAGCTCCTGCCACTGCACACAGCTCATCTGGTGGCTTGACTGGTGGTTCCTGCTGCTGCTCCCACCACTGGTCTGGGACGGCATGGGGGAGCGTTTGCCCCTGGATCTGCACGGGGTGGGACTGGGCTGCACTGCAGTTGGGGAACAGGGACTAAGGCAAATTTTTGGGTGGCTGCAGCCCCGCCATAGCCCCCGCTCCACCACCCGACCCACCCCGATCTGGGGGCACATATCCCCCCCTATGCCCTCAAAGCCACAGCTCATCCAGGGGACGCAGGAGGGCAGCTCCTGCCACTGCATGCCACTTGTCTTGAGGCCACACAGTGGCTCAGCCCTGTGCCCATCCCACCCTGGCTGGGCGAGTGGTGGGAGGGTATGGGAGGGTGTTCTCCTGGAGTTATGGGGGAGCTACAGCCACCAAAAAATTCACCATAGCTCCTGCGACCTGCCCAGAGTGCAGCTTGGTGCAGCTCTGGCTCTGCCCGCCCTACCCTGCACAGATCCAGGGGCACGCCCCCCCGCCCTCATGCCATCCTGGACCAGCAGCGGGAGCAAGTGTGGGAACCATCAGTTGAGCCACCAGTCAAGCAGTGTGCAGCAGCCACCGCTGCCTCCTCCCCATGCCTGTCCAGCCCTGCCTGGGCAGTGCTTGTCCCAGTCCCTCCCTCACTGTAGGGGGCGTTGATCTGTCTCCCACCCCATGCCCCTTCCCTTCCTCCACTTACCAGATGCACAAGGTATCCACCATCATAAAGGAACCAATCCCCCATTTGTAACACTGTTCCTATGGGAAGATTGGTTTCAAGTTGCAACATTTCAACTTAAGACACAGTTTTTAGGAGCCATTTGTATCATAAGTCTGAGGACTGCCTGTAATACAATCTTAATACCTATAAATTTTTACATTTGATTTTGGCTCTTTCCCTGCCCCCTTTGCTCACAAGGATGTGGGTCTAGTTGTGGCTGTCCCCCCAACCGCTCCTTTGTGGCACTGATCAACACTGATATGTTGATGTCCTGTCCGTGCCATTGCCCCTCACTCCACACCCACAGCCCCCCACCCCCTCCAGCCCTGCTGGAAGAGGCCCCCAGTTGCTAGGACTACAGGGTCAAGGACCCAGGTCTGCAGCCCTCTGCCCTCCTACCTTCCCCCTGCCCACAGCAGCACCCAAGCCCCAGCTCCTGCCCATGGGAGACAGCGGTTGCTGTGGTGAAGCAGAGCATGAAGCTAGGCTTCTCATCCCCCACAGGCAGCATGGCTGAAGCGGAGCCTGTGTGGGGTGCAGACTCAAGCTGCCCACTGTGGGCTTAGAGCTTCCCACCCTGCTGCTCTCCCACCAGGGCCTCTGCAGCCCAGCAGGTGGGATCCAGCACAGCAGAGCAGATCGGTGGGGAAGGAGCCCTGCACCACTGCTGGGAGCCCTATGCTACCATGGAGAAATGCCCCCTGTCTGCCTGGCAGCAGCAGGGTCACAATGCCGAGCTGCCATCCCTGCTGCTGCCAGGCAGACAGGGGGCACTTTGCCATGGTGGTGCAGGGCTCCCAGCGGCAGGGTGGGGCTCCCCAGCCTACTCTACCCTGCCATGCTGGGTCACACCTGCTGGGCTGTGAAGGCCCTAGGGGGAGGGCAGCAGGGTGAGGAGCTCTAAGCCCACAGCAGGCAGCCTACATCCACAGATCTGGGAACACATCCCCCCTGCCCCCTGGGAATATGTACAGCAGTGGGAAGCTAGCCCCCCACAACCTCCCAGATGAGCTGTCCATAGCTCAATTCAGTTCACATGGCCCTAAGCCCCATGCACTGCCTTGGATGGGTAGCAGCCCCAGCCCTGCCTAACTCCTGCCCTCATGGGGGGCCTCAATTCCCCCCCCTCCCCCAGACTTACCTGCAATGAGCTGTGAGAACTGCTCTCATGCTGCCTGGATGCTATGTGCATTAGTGCACACATGCACATGGCACCCCCTGCCTGACAGCCCTCCTCCTGCTCCCCCCAGTCCCTTGCAGGCTGGAACTCTGCCAGGCTGCAAGGGGAAACCTGCCTTCCCCATTTTTTCCTTTAAAGGAGAAAATCCAGGTTTTTCTCCTAAAAATGATCACATCCAGGTTTTACCTCATTTTTCCATGGCAAAAGGAAAACTCAGATCCCTACTGATGACACACCTGCTAGTGAGATAGAGCACCTGTCTAATTACTTAATAATGTGAACTTTGGATTGCCGGAACTGCTGTTGATAATAAGTCCATAAATAAAGAAAATAAGGCTTTTAGCACAGGTGGCTCTGAGATTATTCCCACCCTGGTAGTTGTAGCAAGTCCTTTCAATACTTGATAAGATTATGTTTAAAGACATGAGGATGGCAATTATTAACATGTTACAGAAAATATGTTAAAAAGCTTATGTGAAAATAACTTTGGGAGTGAAAAATTGAGGCAGTGGGCTAGAGATATTTTATACTAGCTTCAAATGAATAGTCTCATTAAAGAAGCTCTGAAAGCTGGTTCTTTGTGCCAAAATTAAAGGACCAGTGTACCAATGTATGCTATGTTGGTGGTACAGGAAAAGGTTGCCCACTGAAGCAAATTAGGAATAAATGTGTTTATATTCGCTGATGAAGTCTTGTACTTTCCCAAGACAGATTGACTATCAGATACTACTGCTAAACAGTAGTATCTGTATAGTAAATGTTTGTTAGAACACATGGACATAGAAATGCCTGAGGTTTGTGGGCATAAAACTGAGCACTTTGCAATGAAAAATGGGCTTAGACATGTCACCAGAATTCCTCAGATAAGCATTGATTCATATTGATTTACTGCAGATAGGCTTTAATTCATATTTAGCAGACTTAGGTTACAGAATATCACCATCCAAACATTCTTTGATAGCTACCAAGATTTTCTTCTATAGAAAACTTGAGAGAAGAATGCCTGCACTGCTAGGAAATGAGTTACAGAGATATGGAGAGATAGATAAAGCAAAACAAAAATCTCAGTATAACCAAAGGTCCTGGAAGTCCCCACCCTTCATGAAAATGATGCTGTGTATATCTGTTACAAGAAGAAATGGTGCTAGCAAAAGTGGGGTCATGAGACTTAACTAGGAATCTTCTGAGATTGTTACACCCAAGAGAAATATTTCAGGGGAACAAGTGACTCTTTCCAAAACCCAAAAGAGTGGGAAACAAGAGGCACTGAGTCAACCATTTTGTTCAAGAAGGTCTCAGACAGATAGAGCTCAGAGGCCTTCTCAACCGGCCATGGCTGTTAAGACATGGAACAATCAGATCTACTTGTTGGTGCTGCCAGAAGATCATAGTGCAATCTCATGCCTTGGGGTACCTCACTCCACAGGGCACCTCAGACTAATTGAAGACTGCTAGTTAATTTCTTTTATAGAATGGTTATAAGTACTTGAAATTCTGTATTGCATTAGTGTTGATTTTTAATTATTATTGTTTCCTTAGTCTGGGAAAGGAAGCTGGAGTGTGAGCTATTTGGAATCTGTTCATGCCTCATGAAAAAACTCGTCAACCAGAGTTTATGCACAGAATGAAGCAGGCCTATGTTAGACTCTGAGTCAACAATGAATAATGTAACCATCACCTTCCTGGCTCTGTGAGCAACAATGGCCATGAAGCAAAGCTTTTCCATTCATTTTAAACACAAAGGAAAGGTTTTTAGTTTATAATTAAACACTGCTTATCTAGAGCTCGTGATGCACCCTGGCACCACTGTCACCTAATTGGAATATAGCATCTATTCATGGTCGAACACCTTGACACTGAAGAGAGAGAGCAAATCTAGCAATATGGCATTGACTGATAATTAACACAAGAAAATCCTAATGCATTCATGATATATAATGTTAGTGTTAGTGAGATCACATTCAAGGAAGAGATTTAACTTGGTCCAAAAAATCAGATGAGCCATAGCAAACCTGGGATCCTGCTTGGTTTTCCTTTCTGTTTGGTCTTCTCTTTTGGAGGAGCACAAAATGGAAGGTCCGCATAAGTCACTGTCTGCTCACTCATTTCTCCTAGGTTAGGGAAGAGAAATTGCACAGTTGGGTTTGCTAGTGAATTAACATTATTCTTGAGTTATTATTTTAACCACAAGAGTTATTCAGGAGTTTATGCTTTTAGCTGCACTAACCAGAGCAGAAGACTACAGTGTATCTCTTAACAACACAAGCTACTGTGAACACATCACACCTGTCCCCACTCACTATACTCTTTCTCCAACTTAACTATCATTCCCAGATCCAAGAAAACTAAAAGATCTTCCTACGATCCTTGTGACTGACAGCATTCCTCTTAAGATGCAACTTAACTTTTTGTTCCAGGGCAAGGTTTGTCCCTGTAGCAAATAAAGATTTCTCAATGGCTAGTTCAAGGACTGGAGGACAAACTTCTACAGGAGATTAGGACCACTACAAACCATATGCAACAGATGTTAGTCAGATCACTTCATGCGCAGTTGGAATGTTCTCAAGTATTACTGTGCTGAAGGCAAGATAAGAACCCCCCCAAAAAACAGAGCAGCTCAATTTTGTGCCTCCTATTAAACCCATGAGAATACCATATGTGCAATTAAACTAGCAGCTTAGATCTTGGTCAAAGGTAATTTTTTTTATACAAAATTTGAAATTAGTTGGACAAGGAGTTCTTCAAATACAGGACCTTCGCCTATCACAGGAGGTACACAATCCCACTAGGGGAAATGCCTTACTAGACTTCGTACTGGCCACAAGGGACGACTTGGTGGGGGATCTGCAGGTGCAAGGTAACCTAGAGGATACTGACCACCTGTTGATAGGTTTTGTTATCTGGAGAAAGGTGGGGAAGATAACTAGCAGGGCAGAAGTGCTAGACTTCAGGAAGGCCAACTTCAACAAGCTCAGGAGATTAGTTAGGGAGGGACTGACTGGTAAAATCCTTGGGGACATAAGAGCCCAGGAAGCATGGGCGTTTCTTAAGGGACTAATCCTGCACACACAGATAAGGACCATCCCAGTACACATAAAAGAGGGCAAAAAAAGCAAAGAAACCCTCTTGGTAGAGCAGGGAAGTCCAGGAGAGCCTGGAGGGGGGAAAAAGAGGCCTACAGGCTGTGAAAGCAGGGGGCTGCCACCAAGGAGGAATATATCTGCTTGGCTTGAGCTTGCAGGGAAACGATGAGGAGAGCCAAAGCTGAAATGGAGCTTAGGCTGGCGGCAAAAGGCAAGGATAACAAAAAGGAGTCCTTAAAGTACATAGGAAGCAAAAAGAAGGTGCAGAGTAATCTAGGGCCCCTTCAGGACAAACTAGGGCCAC